TCGAGTACATGAAAAGATTCATGCAGGAGAGAAATCATATGAATGTAAACAGTGTGGTAAAGCCTTCAGACATAACAGTGATCTTCAACGTCAAGAAAAAATGCATACTGGAGAGAAACCTTATGTATGTAAACAATGCAATAAAACCTTTAGATGGTACAGTAAACTTCAAGTACATGAAAAAACCCATACTGGAGAAAAACCATATGAATGTAAACATTGTGGTAAAGCCTTTAGATGGAACAGTCATCTTAAAAGTCATGAAAAAATGCATACTGGAGAGAAACCCTATGCATGTAAACAATGCAATAAAACATTTACATGGTACTGTGCCCTTCGAAGACATGAAAAAATTCATACTGGAGAAAAACCATATGAATGTAAACAATGCAGTAAGGCATTTTTAAGTAAAAGTCATCTTCATAGGCATGAAAAAATTCATACTGGAGAAAAACCATATGAATGTAAACAATGCAGTAAGGCATTTTTAAGTAAAAGTCATCTTCATAGGCATGAAAAAATTCATACTGGAGAAAAACCATATGAATGTAAACAATGCAGTAAGGCATTTTTAAGTAAAAGTCATCTTCATAGGCATGAAAAAATTCATACTGGAGAAAAACCATATGAATGTAAAGAATGTGGTAAAGCCTTTATATGTAAGAGAGATCTTCATGTACATGAAAAAATTCATACTGGAGAAAAACCATATGACTGTAAACAATGTGGTAAAGCCTTTAGATGTAAAAGTGATCTTCAACGTCATGAAACAATGCATACTGGAGAGAAACCCTATGCATGTGAACAATGTGGTAAAACCTTTAGAAATAACAGTAATCTTAAAAGTCATGAAAATACTCATACTGGAGAAAAACCATATGAATGTAAACAATGTGGTAAAACCTTTAGACGTAACAGTCATCTTCAACGTACATGAAAAAATTCATGCTGGAGAAAAACCATATGAATGTAAACAGTGTGGTAAAGCCTTTAGACATATGAGTTCTCTTCACTTACATGAAAAAATTCATATGGTTTTTCTC